AATATCTTTTGAGCTTAGAGTCAAGTTTTGGTTAGAGATGCACTTATTTTCCATTTTCTTGCAGTGCAGTTTTAAATTCAATTAATACAATAATTTTTCTTCAACTCAATTCAATTTAACCATCCAAGCTGAGATATACGTACAGTAGGTACGAAAGAGTTGGTCTTGAGGCGTAGATTGAGTTAAGATACTTTTAAGAAAAGAAAAGAAGAAAAGAAGTTTTATAGGGCTTGCTTTTTTATCGGTTGAACCGAATTTAGCGTCTCAAGTTAAAGCCCTTGAATCAGTACGAGCTGTAAAAGTTTAAAGCCAATTTTCGCGATTTTCAAGTTAAAAAGTCATTTTTTCGCGTACTTCAAAAATGAGGATCGGAAATGCGTCACAAGATTGATTTGCGACAGTGCGAGCTGTGAAAGTTTTAAGCCAATTTCTTGCGATTTCATGCATAAGAAAAGGCATTGTCTTATTCACTCATAAAAGAATCCCTTCATTTGGCCAATAGAGTCCTTAAGTGTGACGTCACGTTGCCTTGACTACCGATTTTTCTGTTCTAAACAAACCAAGATGGCGGCTTTATCGATAGCGTCTCTCGCATTATTCTTTACTGGAGAGCAAAAATCTATCTCTAGAAAATATCTCTAGAAAATCATGTTCAATCTGGTCACATAGAAGCTTTTACTTATAATGACGGTGTAATCAGAGGTCAAGTCCATGCAAGTATGAAGCAGAAATCTTATAAAGTCACGGTAAGTTTATCGTTCCAAAAATGTTCGAAGTCGCCATATCAAACAAAATCATAACTTAGGATATCGTAGTTTTTATTCAATTGATAATATTGTTAATAGATATGAACCTTATTGTCAAGATAATCAATGATATTTGGATAAAATCGGAACTATTTTGCTAGTTTGTGGGTTCAATGTCCGCATGCTTTCGTKGTCTACATAAGCAATACGCAATACGAAGTAAGCTGGCTGGGTTCAAATGATGCCATATATGTGAATTAWTTTGTAATTGTGGTYATTTCTTTTATTGTAGATCTATCTAGACGAAATCAACAGTATAAAATCTACAGAATGCGAATGTCCTAGAGGGGAGTTTAAGTGTAGTCACGCCGCGGCAGTGTTTATTCATGGTATTCACAATCTGAGCAGAACTGATGTCCCGTGTTCTTGGAAGAAGAAAAAAAGCACTAACTTTTCGCCACAGTCAGCCCAAGAGATGTTTCCACCTAGTAAAATATATAAAGCCTTGAACAGAGCACCAGACCAAGAAGACAGGAACTTCTTTTTTCAAGGCTGAAAAATTATGGCAAATTTACAGGCCTATGGTGGGTTCTGAGCCCAGAACCTCCCACACAAGCTCCTCTACCCATCCCAACTATAGAAGAGCTGATATTTTGTGAAGATTTTTTAGAAGTTGTTGGTAAGGAGCATCAGATTGCTTATATTCAAGACAAAGCAAAAGTGTCTGCCAATGTTATAGAGGTTGTAGCCGAACTTACAATGGGACAGAGAGACAATTCCTCCTGGCATTTAGCTAGAAGAGGAAGATTAACAGCAAGTAACTTTGGCAGTGTGTTGAACTGCAAAAGAGTGACACCCTCTCTCTTGAAACGACTGTTGGGAGAATACGATCTCTCAAGGGTCAAAGCAGTTCAGTGGGGAACAAATAATGAAAAGGAGGCCATCAATTATTTCAAGACCAGCACTGGCCTGCAAGTAGCAGAGACTGGATTGTGGCTACACGAGAGTGGTGTGCTAGGTGCTTCACCTGACGGCCTTATTGGCAATTGCCATGTTTTAGAGGTGAAGTGCCCTTATACCGAAAGAAATGAAGCAATCACAGATGCCATAAAGAATGCATCCTTTTGTCTAAAAGAGGAAGATGGAAAACTGATATTTTAAAGAAAGACCATGTTTATTGGCATCAAGTACAAGGCCAAATGTATTTGACAAAAAGGGACTTTTGCTACTTTGTAGTCTGGACCACCAAGGATGCTGCTATTATTACAATCAAGAAAGATGACTCATGGGCAAGCAACATTGATGTCTTAAGTGATTTTTACTTTCATCAACTGTTCCCAAAAATTRCAGAGGGAGAACTTTAAATGTATATAATTTTAACAATGAATTATTCTAGTATTTTCTTATTTATCAACCCACTATTTTTAAATAGCATAGTGTAAATAGTACTTTTATTCTGTAAAGAAGTTAACATATTTTTTTATTACAACTTACTATAATATCTATATTTACAAATATAATATGTTTAATAAGCAAGTTTCAGTTACAGTTGTAGTTCCTTTTTCTTTTTTATGAGACATCTAAAGGAAACATTTATACAATGACATGTTATTAAAATCTTTATTTCTAACCATCAAAACTATTTATATCAATCAAAATTTAACCCTTCAGAAACCTCTTTTATAAGAGGGAATTGCAAATTTACTAATRCAGCAACCAACTGAAAAAGAATATCTGCATGGCATCTAAGATAAGATGGTACAAAACTCAAAATTTTAAAATCTTTTAGTCTAGCATTGGCTCTTTCCACGTGAATTCGGCATTTTGCTATTGACTTGGTTGCCCTAGCTTCAYTTTCAGTAAACTTTCCATTGTTTAAAAAGGGGGGGATATTTACTGCTACCCCAGTCGGCACTATACTTTCRATAAGGAATCCCTTATCCGCAAGAATTAAATCCCCTGTCTGCAGGTGTTTTAAGAACCCTGATTTACTTACAATTTCTTTATCCGAAATAGACCCAGGATACAAAGGACTAACAAATGTAATTACTGCATTTGGTGCAACACCTACTAAAACTTTAAATGAATTCATACCCCTATAGCTAGAATAAGTTGCACTTTGTTGGCTCATTAGACCTGGAGTAGCAATTTCTATATCAGTGCAGTCAATTACAATTCTACATGAGGCAAATCCTGAAAATGACGAGGGTGAACTTGTGCTATTCTTATGCCTGGAAGGTATTGTAGTCATAATATCTTTAAAAA